TGAGATCAGAGATGTTTAAACACTGTCTTTTTTACCACACCAGTTGGGTAGTGTGAAGGCAAAATTGTGCATTTGAGTCCAGACTGTGACACATTTTGGGGGCTAGTCACGTCTTCTCTGAGCCTCAATTTTCTCATCTGAAAAATAGGAATGTCAGCCATTTCACAGAGTTGCCACGAAGATCAAGTCATTCAAGCCCAAAGTGCCAGCCCTACAGTAAGCACTGGATGCATATTTCTTGAGTAAATGTAACACATAGCATTTGATGAGAGACTTTTACAAACATTTTAATTCTCCAGCAACATTTTATTATGGTCCTGGCTCACAGTCTAGCAATAGAAAGTGTTACTGACCCCCATTACTCAGACCCCCGAGACTCCCCACTTCCACTGAGGGAGGCTGAGTTCTGCGTCCAGCAAGCTGCCCAACAAGGGAAGAGAAGTCACGTGCAGAGCTGTAACCCTGTAACCTCAACAAGGGTGAGAGCGTTTCCCCTCAAATATCTATGGAGGAGTCCCACGATCCCAGCTACTCACTGCCTTGCTCCCATTTTCAGGGTGGGGTCTGTGAGGCAACTTAATCAACTCCTATAAAACACAGGCCAGTACCCACACTCCCTGGATCTCTGGAGGTGGGGTCTGGATATCTGCATTTGGAACAAACTCCCGCTCCTAAGGTATGGGAATGTTCGGGGCTGTTGTCGCCTCTAGACATGCAGAGGGCATGTCAGAGTGAGAAAGAAGTTTCTAGTTTAAAGGCAGAGAGATTTGCAGGTTATTACCGCAGCATAACCTAACCAGTCCTGACTGGTCCAGTGAGCTTATGCCAACAGCTGTTCTCTCAGAATCACTGGGAGGTCCCCGACATGCTCTGGGGATTTCAGCCACTTCAGATGCCTCAAAGCCAAACAAAACCAAAAACTTCCCCTTCAGAAAGTCAGGATGCATTCTGTCCTTCCCCTTTCCTTCCTACTGGGAAGCTTAGCAGGGGGGTGTGGGGGGGAACAGCCCTGACACAGCTTCCCCCGTGGAGGAACCAACATGCTCCCGGACCACCTCTGAAGTGACCTCCACACTGACCACACACTCCAACAACTGGCATAATCTTTCCCCTTGGTCAAAAATAAAAACAGCATACCTACTCTTCTGGGAGTGAGTCACAGACAGAAAAAAGTCGATGGCTCTGAGCCAAGAGGATCTGCGAACATGGGAAAAACTCCCAGTGGAGGTGTCTCAGCAGATGCTGTGGTTTCACCCTGCTGGCCGGCCTGACCAAAGAGCCATCCAAACAACTCTGAACCTCAAGCATCGGACACTACACCAGGCCAGGCATCATCCTGACCCTCCAATGAGACTAGAATTTATTTACTACTTTCTCCCTGGGCAAGGAGGACTGACTTGAGAGACAGAAAGAGAGAGAGAGAGAGAGAGAGAGAGAGGGAGTTGTGGGAGGGTCTGCTCCTTCAGGGAAGAAAGGGACTGGGCTGGGAAAGATGGTATCAGAGGAGGCAAGTCCCAGGCAGCGGGCCTCCTGTTGGGGGCCAGGGGTGGCAACTACCTCTCCCAACCTCAATTTCTTGGCTCAGGCAGATGAACCTTAAGATAAACTTGATAAAATTTTGGGTTGGCTACATGAGGTTATGTTATCTCCATCTTCATCTCCGTTCCCATCCCAGAAGCCAAATGTAGGGCTCTGGCCGTGCACAATCTCCTCCACCATCCAGGGCTGAGAGCAGCCACCCCCATTCCTCCAAATCAGAGCTGTAGCAGGAAGGGAAACCCAGTTTTTCTGTGCATCTCAGGCAAATGGGAAGGGGTTTACGTCTGGTTGTTCCAGACAGTCCTCAGTTTCCCAGGGCTAAAGGAGACACTCCTCTGATGAGCCTATCTATATGGGGGACCTGGCCTGGGCTGCCCAAACTTCATGCTTGGCGGGGGCGGGGAGAGGAATGGAGGATAGAGGTGGCGATTGTTGGCAATTATTTCACAAATGGCATTTTAGAACTGACCTTTCAGAGATGTGCTCATTGCCAGGTCCTTTCTTCTTGCCATACCAAGCTGTCACCCAGAGCTCAAGCTGGGTCCACACCCTGGACCTCACCCAGCTCCCTGCCTCCTGGGAGGGAGTGATATCCTCCAACGAGTCTCAAGCCTGTGGGGATGGATGGATAACAGAGGCGTGGATACAAGCAGATCTTTATACGCAGTGCAGGTTTCTGCAACAACCCTGAGAAAATTGCCGAAGAAGTGGACGAAGTGGGAATAAGACCAAAAAGGCGGACTGTACTTTCCTGTGGGAACATTCAGCAGAAAGCATTCAGGAATAGCGCGCCCCCCTCCCCCGCCCCGCCATGAGTTTTTCTCAGTGTGCCCACTGAAGCTCACCTGCCCTGTGGGGAAAAGAACAGAGAAGCCCCCCTTATCACCACCTTAGATCTAGAGTAGTGGAGTCCTAGGGCCAGCAGCAGCAACACCACCTGGGAATCTGTTAAAAATGCAACATCTCAAACCTCAGCCCTAAATTCCTCCTGAGTCAGAAACTCTAGGGGTGGAGCCCTGTAATCTGTGTTCTAACAAGCCCTCCAGTGGACTGCCCGCCAAAGTTTGAAACCACTGATGCGAGAGAAAGAAAAGTTCAGACAGGGGAGCGGAAAGGTGGGGGAAGGGAGTAAAAGGGGTGGCCCATGATGCACCCTCCCTCATCTCAACTCCTGCTCTGTAACACCGTGGGGTTGCCTATTTTCCCTTGTGCCCAGAAACCACCTCCTCAAGTGAGAAGCTCCAGCCTCTCGTGAGACCCCGAGGACCCGGCACTACAAATGAGGAGGACTTTCTGATTGCCACCACCACGAAGGAGAAGCCATGGACCAAAGCAGGCTGGGAATTCCCTGACCACTCCACTCTTGAAATTTTAGGAATTACCTAAAAATTACCTCCAAGGGGGAAGAAAAAGCAAAAGTGAAGATTCCCCTACCAGACGCTAGGGGGAGTCCCTTCTCTGGCCTGGTCTTCGAAGAGGAGCGTGTGTCTCAGGTCTAGAGGAATTTAGATTATTTCCAAAGTTGGTTGCTGGTGACCTCTGTTAAATCAACCACACCGACCCCCAAGTTTTAAGAGGACACTGATCACCGCGTCAGAGTGGTGGATCGCAAAAGCATTTACCTGTCTTCCCACTCCCAGACCAATTTACAGGCAAAACCAAAAATAAGACAAAACAAAAACCTAGAGAGGCTGGAGAGGGCCCCGGGTCATGCAGCTGGCCTGTTCAAAGATCCAGCAGTCCCGTTGCCCGCCCACGAGAGACGACCAGGACAGGTTACGTAATTTGTGGGACCTAGCGTAAAGAGAAAATGCCGGACCCTGTGTTCAAAAATCATTAAGACTTTCAAGACGGTGAAGTCAGAGCATTCAAAGGGAAGGGGCCAGAGGAGGTTATGAAGCCGGCTCTGGCGCTAGCAGGAAGGAGTTCATCTTCGGGTCCCACAAGTGAGCTGTCCATCCCTAATACAGAGTAGGGCTTTCGGGGCTGGTGTTTCCACAGTAGGTCCTGGAGCAGCAGTGGGGAGAGGAGGGTTTGGTTTAGGAAGATAAGCTCTCCCAAGCCATGGGGCGAGGGAGCGGTCTCACGATCCCCCAGGGCCCCCGATCATCCAACCCCAGTCTTCCGGGAAAGGAATATCCTACCAGGCAGGCCTGCCCAGAGAGGGGAAATCCAGCAAGAGTGAAAGTCGCAGGCGGACAACCTAGCCCGCCGCGGAGGCGGCTTCCCGCGGTCAGCCTCGGAAGCGTCCCCCGCCGCGCGTGCCTCGGCGTCACGGGACTCGGCGCTGCTACCGGAGCCGGAGCGCCGGCGGGGCCTGCCCGACCCACGCGCGGCCGGCTGGCCAGGGGGCGTCGGCGCCATCGGGGGGGGGGCACGGCCCACACCCTCCCGTGGGCAGGAGAAGCGGGAGGGTGGCCCGCGGACACCCGGCCCGGGGACCTCTCCAAAGACCCATCCCCAGCTAGTTCCTAAGCCCTTACCTGCCGCCTGCTCCCTCACCTGGGCGTGTTGGGGTGCGGGGGTGCGGGGGGGGAAAGGGGGGCTGGTGTTGGGGGAAGTGATGGGAGAGGGAAGGAGGCAGGGCTGAAGGCAAGACGGTCCCGACAGCAACCCCTCTTCATCGGCCCCAGTCGGCCGGTCCGCTTCCCGCAGACGCCCCGAAACCCGCGCTCGCTCCCGCGCCCCCCCGCCGCTCGGCCGGCGGGTGGTTCCCCGGGGCGCCCTTCCTGCCGCGCGCCCGTCTCCCCGCCCCCGCCCCGCCCTGCAAGCTGCGGTCCCTTTAAAGGCGCGCTCGTGTGGGGCCGCCCTTCTCTCGAGGCTGACTCGGGAGCCGCGCCGCCGCCGCCAGCTGCCGTCGCTCGCCAGGCATGGCCATGGCGTCCCCGGCCATCGGGCAGCGTCCCTACCGGCTGCTCTTGGACCCAGAACCGCCGCGCTACCTGCAGAGCCTGAGCGGCCCCGAGCCGCCGCCCCCCGGCCGCTCCTCGCGCCGCTGCGCTCCCGCGCCCCTCTCCACTGCGCCCGGGGCGCCCGAGGGGCGCGGCGCCCGGAGGGCGGCCGGGGGGGACCCGGAGCCCCAACCTCGGGCCTCGCGACCCGCCCGCCCTCTCCGGCCTGGTCTGCAGCAGAGACTGCGGCGGCGGCCTGGAGCGCCCCGGCCCCGGGACGTGCGGAGCATCTTCGAGCAGCCGCGGGATCCCCGCGTCCCGGTGGAGCGAGGCGAGGGGCACAGCTTCGCCGACCTGGCGCTGCGGAGCGGCCGGGGCTGGTGTGACCTGTGCGGACGAGAGGTGCTGCGGCAGGCGCTGCGCTGCGCTAGTGAGTGTGAGGGCAGGGGAGGGGAGGGGCGCGCGGGAAGCCCGCAGTCCGCCGCGGGGCGTGGGGGGGGGGACTGCCAGGGGGCTGGCGCAGGGGACGGTCATTGCCCTTCTCCACTTCAACCAAGGGAGACACTCCCGGGAGACTGCTTCTTAGTCCCCTAGCGGGTAGGCTTTAGTGACTGCCTACCGCCCAGGTATGGTGATGCTGTGTTTGACTAACACCCCTTTCCCTGACAGGTGCGTACCCGGCCCCTCCACACACACACACACACACACACACACACACGCGCGCGCGCAGTCACTCACTCAGGTTGGGGATGATGACCACGGCGGCAAGGTCATTCCGTTGTCTCCCACTCACCCTCTTGCTTTTGTTGTAGCTTCTTGACAATGGGTTGTGAGACCGGTATTGATGTGGCCATTTGACCCGCGCTTATTAGGGTTAATGGGAATATGGCCTGTTTGTCGCCTGTGGTACAGGCCCATGGTACATGCCCCACTGTGGTACGCCTCTCCTTTAGGGCGCACTGTTGGGACAGGAAAGAGACCTGGTTAGGCTTTGGATGGAAACAGGCTGTAGGCGGAAGTGAGCCTGAGGTCACCCTGGATCTGTGCCCCCCCCCTTGCCTTTCACCTCTGGACTCTGCTCTGTTTGGCAGTGTCCTGTCTCCCTTCCTCCCCCTCCTCCCCTTCCATCTCTGCCTCCTCCCTCTCCTCCCCCCCCTTCTCCTCTTCCTCCTGGGTTACTGCACCAGTCATCAGGCTCTAAAATTCCCCAACTCCCTGTCCAGCAGCAGCTACTGCCCATCAGGAAAAGCCTACCTTGCCCGTCTCCGCAGTTCCCAGCAGCTGGCTTCGGGGAAGGAAAGCTCACCTTCTCAGCCAGAGTCAAGTGGAAGGGAAGGATTGGAGGGGAAAGCAGATGTTGCTCCCTCCGCCACCAGAACTCACAGTTCAGGTGCTAATACAAAAGAGTGAACTTCCTAGAGGTGTGTGTTGTGGGTGGAGGGCTGCCGTCACTTGGTAAATGCTCTTGACCTTACAGTCCAACCACACGGAGCTTGCCCTGGATGTCTTGGCCACGATTGCCCTCTCAAGGGTCCTGGGGTACGTGACTGTCTCCACCAATTCTATAAACACACACAGGCAGTGTTCTCACTGTCATGGATCTAGTTGTGCTAGAATCCTGAGAAATCCACTTCACTGGAATTCTAGTCTGTAGTGAGACATTTGGGGGATGTCTGAATACGAGAGATGGGAGCAGGGCTGGAGTCAGGGGACCAATGAGCGGTGTCTCTGTCGTTATTAATATTTAACTACTTGTGGAACTGTGGCTGGATGGGAACAGTTGAGAAATGTTTTGATGTGCAGATGAGCCACAGGCAGGTGAAGACACAGCTGGCCAAACTCACCCGGCATCTTTGTTTAAGTTGAAGATCTAATTCCGTGGGGGGCTTGGTTTGTTTTATCTTTGTTTTGAAAAGCAAGGTTCAAAAATATGACCTTGAAAAGGCAGTAGCAGGCAGCGATTAAGAGAACAGACTGACACCACAAGACCTGAGTTCGAATCCTTACTCTGCCACTTAATCTCTGTGTCGTTCTGGGCCTCTCTGTGCCCATCTGCTTCCTTGCTTTAAAAAAAGTGCGGATAATAACATTACCTACTTCATTGTGTTAATTAAATGAATTAATATATGTAAAGTGCTTAACACAGTGCCTGGCAAAAGGCATTATGAACGTTTAATGCAATATGAATGTTATTGTTATCCCCTCCCACCCAACAGCTGTAACAATTTGTCTGGGCTCATGACGCCTCTGAGGATCACCTTTCCAAGCAGTGAGTACAGTTCTCGAACCCTGCCTGGCTGAACTAAGCGGGGAAGCAAGTGCCCTGAGTGTCCCAGGATGTGCGGGTATTCCTTGTCCTCCAGAAACACCACTCCTGCCCGCTGTGGTTGAGAAGCATCCTCACTGAATGCCAGTAGCTTGGAGAGCACCAAAACATTGATGCCTTGTCTTTATATCACTTGCCCCCAACAAAGTGCCCGGCTCAGAGCAGCCTCAGTAAGTAGCATTTGATGAAGGTGGTGGCTTGTTTTTCCTCTTCAATCTCTCTGCTCTTGGAAACAAGCAGAAGGGCAGTGGTATATGAATGACATAGGTCAGGGCAGGAGCCTGACGATGGGTGGCAGCCATGTTGGCAAGCTGCGCTCTTAATAAGGGAAACTTTTAGAGAGCTGTCTTCCCACTGTCTGCCTGCCTGTTTAGTGAAAACCCCTCTAACTTAGCCTTACCCCTACTTCCAGGTCTGCAACAGACTCTGGTTAATGCTGGATTTGCCCACAGAGGGGTTCAGAGTTAATACTAATCTCCAGGATTAAAGAAATCGTGTTTATTAGATAGAGAAAGATATCCAGTGGGGTTTGGGGGAAGAGAGAGGCAGAGAGACAGAAGCAAAAAGAGAGAGACGCAGAGAGACCGAGAGACACACAGATTATGTGAACGCTTGTGTGCTTTGGGGTGGGGGCAATGGCAGTGGCGAGAACCCACTTCCAGTATTCCAGAAGGGCAAGGCCAACAGCAGAGACCCTGTGAAAGTCACCGGCTGCCCTTTGGCTTTGGTATCAGGAAATGTCCTTTACAGGTCATGGACCGTTTCTTCTGTAGAAGGCACCTGGATTGATCTTTTACCTGTCATCTCGTTTTGTGGATATGTAAGCCATCCTGGACTAGAGAAAGTCTGGAAAATGGGGAAACCCGAAGTCCAACTCCGCATTCAAGGAGGGATGCTTGGACATAGCTTACATGATGCTAGTGAGTGCCTGGAGCCTTCTCTGGACGCATCATTGTTCAGAACTATGAAGTGTTATGTGATTGGAATTATAGGGTTGAAAGGGGAGCCCTGGGTCTCCTTATCCTATCCCCCATTTGAGAGATGTTTAATTATGATGTGAAGAGGAGGTGCTTGCCATGAGACCTCAGGGACAGGGGACTTTCTGGGGTGAGTGATACTGATGTCCCACAGGGCCCCTTGTCCAGCCTTCCCGGCTCTGTCTTGTCACTTCATTAATGGCTGGGCTCAGCCCACCTCTCTGTAAAGACTGGAACCACCCATGTGACAGCCACTGGATCCTGTGGAGTCATCTCTTGTGGTGACTTCTTTGTAGAAGAGGTTACTGCGACATTGACCCTTCTCTGTAGAAGAGATTACTGCGACACTGAGTTGCCCTGCTGCAGACCCTAGAACTCTTGGGTACTTGGAAAGCATTTTATTTGTCCAGTACACCCAGCAGCGCTGAAGTGTGTGGCTTGAAGTCTTTTCTTGGACTCAGGCCCCAGTTTGGCTGGGGAGGTTAGGGAAAAGGACGTTGAGTTGTTAAAGAGAGTGGAACCCCCCGCCTTCAATTCCTCCCGCCCCGGGCTCTAACTGGGATCTTCTCCTAGGAAAAGTCCTGGTGGAGTAAGTGAGTGAGTGTGTGTGTGTGTGTGTGTGTGTTTGGGGACAGAGAACAGACCTGGAATGCTTTGAGGGAGGCCTTCTGAGGTCCTTAAGCTGTGTCCTGTTTCCTCTCCTCCTGGCTTCCTGTCTTCTGGAAGGATGAAAGTGAAAGCATTAAATGTGGGCTTAATTGTCCCCCCTCTTCATCAGAGCATGAAATTTTCTGATTATGGAGGGAAGGGGGATTGAATCCCAGGTGTAGTCAAAAATGATTAATGCCACTTGTCTGCCAGCCTAATTAGACTTGGTAATGAACGTGTGTTTGCCTGCTGATCCTGCGGAGTTATTAGGTGGAAGTGAATTGACATCTCCCCTCAGCGCTGAGGCTTTGGTCTGGGATCCTCTCTCTTCCCCCCAAGTTTATCAGCCACTCAGCCTGGGCCAAGCCCTGGCAGGTCGGCCCTGAGTGACAGGGAATAGACAGCCCCCTGCCTGGCCCCCAGGACCCTGCCTGGCTGGTGAAGTGGCTCCTGCCACAGGAGCTGGCTCTTGGGGGTGAAGAGTGTGTGAGGAGAGGGACCGGAGGCTCAGGCCAGGCCCAGCCCACCTCTGAACACAGGAAGACCAGTGGTAGTGCCTTTTCCCTGAAGAGCCCAAAGGATTTTCATGCTGGCTTCCACATTCATCCTTGGAATGGCTTCCTGAGGTCAGAACGCAGGGATGCTGCTGCCAAGGTCTTACGTGGGCGAGGAGGCACCGACCGTCCCCCTGGCTAGGGGCAGGACAAGGTTAGAACCTCTCAGGTGGGGCAGAACTGGCTGGCCTCAAAGGCCTTGGGGCCATCTCAGGCTGTCGGGTCATTTCCCTCCTTCAGGCCCTGCCCAGCATTTCTGGGTCCGAAGCCACGCCCGCATAGGCTTTTCCGAGGAGCCCTCTCTGGCTCCCACCCCATTCCTCAGTTTCCCCACAGAAGGAGCTGCTAGCCATTCTTGCTCTGCCCAGGGTACTATTAAGGCTGGTGAGGAAGCTGTAAATACGCCTCCGGCCTTATCAGAGGCCCTTCCTCTTCGCATTCCTCAGATGACAAGGTGAATATTCTTGGGCAGGTGAATATTTGTGGGTACGCAGAGCATGCAGCTGTGCCAGCCCGAGCCTCCCTCAGCAGCCAGTCTTCCCTCTTGCTCACAGATCTGCTTTGCTGGTGGCTGGATGCTATCTGCCCCCCAGGCCACCCACCGGCCCCGGCTGTGTTCTGGCTCTGCCTGGGTTGGGGCGGGCCGGCGGCACTGACGCGGGGAAGGCCAGCCTGGACTGGGGAGATGGCTGGGCATTTAGTCATTTGTGGTTTTGTTCCAAGAGATTTGACAAGCTTCTCTCTGCATGTTCAGGGCAGAATCTTAGGGTTGGGAGGGGAGCTGAGCCAGCTCTTCAACTTTGGGAAAAGAGCAAGGAGGCCAAGGTGATGATGTCAGGCAGGGCAGTGGGCTCTCTTCCCTGGGGACTCTGGTTTAAGTGGAATCCCATCAGTGCTGGGGACTAGCCATGCGGAGCCCTGCCCT